CCCCCGCCCCCACCACTACCCACAAAGCCACAAGAGACGACGCCAGCAATGGCAGAGAAGCACAGCGAACGACAGCAACAGCAACAGGAACAGCAGCAGGCAGCCGTCGAGAGGGAGAAGGAGAAGGAGGAGAAGAGGGTGGCTGACGAGAGTGTGTTGGTTGCCTGGTTCGTCAACGAGTTGGCGTTGGGGCTGGTAGAGGGCGTGGGGGTCATCCTGGAATGGAGTCACCCCACCTACAACACACCTTGCCACACTCCCATGGGATACTCCGTCATCGACCAAGCTGACCAGCCCGCAGCACAGCCTTCACTTGACACTGGCGTGACCTGTGTTGGCGCCTTCTGCACACTCCTCAGGTGCGCTGATCGATGGGCATTGCTCGTACGCACCATGGGCATGGTCTATCTTCATTCGACAGGTCCGTCGCTGTGGTGTTTGGCCCCGCTGTCCGCCAGCGTGTCTTCGATGCAGTGTTCTTCCGGCATCTGCCCGTCAGCCGCCCGCAGGAGCAGGAGAGCGACAGCAGTGAGATCAACGCTCCCCTGGTGGTGCCACGGCAAGGCGTCGAGACGGCATCGAACGTGTCCATGAGCACGTCGCATCGACGTCTTTTGCCTGTGTACGTCACTGCCTTCGTCGTGCACCAGCCCCCAGCACAGGCGGGGCGCTTTCTCATGGAAACACTGGTATGCAGAAGCCAGCATATAATGTGTGGAGGGCAGGGCTCTCATCTCACATGTATGTCATGTGCTCTCTCTCTCTCTCTCCCTCCCTCCCTCTGTGTGTGTGCAGACGTCGTATGGCCACGAGTGGTGCGGCTGGCGGCTGTCGAGCCATCGGCTCCTCTTCGACCACACCATTCGCACCCTCGGCCAGCACCAGCCCTTGACAGTGCTGAGCATCCTGTGGCAGCTGGTCAACCACCAGGACACCAAGACCCGCCTCGCCGTCATCGACTCATTCGAAGTGCTCCTGGGCGCACTCGACACCGAGCAGGTTGCGCGTCGTGTGCTGCCCGCCCTCTTCACGCTCAGCCGAGATGCTGACCCTTCAGTGACCGTCCGGTCCATCCAGGCGCTCCGCGGTCCCCTGCTCAACGCCTTCCCCCTCACACACACTGAGACCCCCCCACCGTGTGGACATCAGCAGCCGCAGGAGAAGATTCTGTCCGAGGTGACGGCACACATAACGGGGCTGCTGGACGGCGGCGGCAGCGACGTGGTGCGCGCCTGTCTGGATGTGTTCTATGGGGTGACGGCTGCCGTGGCGCATACGTCTGGCTTCGGTTTGGGCGGCGAGGAGGGGGAGGAGGAGAATGTGCTGACGACGTTCATTGTACCGCATGTGTGTCGGCTGGCGACGCTGCCCGAATACTCGACACACCGAGGGGTGAGTGGAGAGAGGGGAGGGGAAGGTCAGATTGTGTGGGGTGGGGAGCATTGTGTCTTTCTCCCTCTCTCTCTCTCTCTCTCTGTGCGTGTGTCAGGTGTGTAGCAGGGTGGCAGAGTGTCTCATGAACATTGCCCGATGCCCTCTACCAAAGGTGGGTGAGTAGTGGCCACCCCAACAAAGGCCTTGCCATGCATCCGTGTCCTGTATGCATGTCTTTGGTCTGACAGCCTCTGATGGCCGCGGCAGTGCTGCCCTCTCTGCGTCATTTGGCGGGCACGCCTGACGTCCCGGCCGCCCCCGCCATATCGCAGGAGCTGAGGAGTGAGCTCTGGGCACTCATACGGGCCATCGAGAAGCCTCATGGCGAGCAGCTTGCGTGACGGTGGTGGATCGTTGGATGCGATATGGGGTGTTAGTTGACGCTTTTTTTGGGTTTGAGAGATCGATGAGGGAGCGGTTTCACTTGTGCAGACAGACTTGATGGTGTTAGGTGATTGATTAGTCTGACACAGAAATGGATGGCTCTACATCTGATCTGTGTCAGTCGCAACTAAGTCTCTTGTCCATCTGATTGACTACACCATGTGTACTTCACTCACTCGTCAAGCCACTCACAAATCTCTATCGACACCCACACTCACACTCACAAGCCCTCTCGTCACTTGGTGGCCACAACGGTCCGGTGCCTGGGCGAGTTCTCGCGGCTCTCGACGTCACAGAATCCTGCCTCCTGCATCTCATGGGCGATATCCATCTGGATGTACTCAGTGATATACGGCTCGGTCGACCTGCACACATCACACACACACACACACAGAGAGAGAGAGAGAGAGAGTAGTGCGCTGGACGGACATCGTGCCAGGTGAGGTGCCTACCTGAATGCAGCGAAGAACAGGGGGTTGGTGGCGAGCTTGACAAATGTCGGCGACACTGGGTTAACATCCATGACGGCGAGGGAGCCTCCCGGCTTGAGCAGCCTGTACGCCTCGCGGAAGATGTCCTTTGCCGCGTGTGTGGGCAGCTCGTGATGCACCAGACAGATCGTCACCAGGTCCACACTGCCATCCGCAAGACCTGAGAAAGAATGACGAACCGAACCAACACACACAGAGAAAGGACACATCAATCCACCAATGCTGCTGCCATGTGTCATATTCTCTGTGTGTCTGTCTGTCTGTCTGTCTGTGCCGTGCCCACCAGTGGCCTCCCCGGCGGCATGGCGGTACTCGATATGAGCCAGTGCGTCAGGGGACCCCCGTTGCTGTAGCTTGTACGCGCCGACGGCACACATGTAAGGTGACAAATCCACCCCAGTGATCTTTGCCGTGGGAAAGGTCTCGTGCAGCTTCATCGTCGACAGCCCCGTGGAGCACCCAATGTCCACAATCCTCTCCGGCGTCATTCCGCCCCTCTCCTTGAGCATGACGACCATCTCCTGGTGGAATCGGTGCCGCAGCATCCTGTCCCCGTCAGGTCTGAGGTCACTGGGGTTGTCACCATAGAGGGGCGAGTGGACCGTCACAGCCGCTGGCTCCGCCTCCATGGCGGCCTGATATATCAATCAATGTGATCGACCGATACTCGTGTTGGTTGATTTGTTTCCTTCTTTCGTTGTGAGTGAACTGAGCGCACCGCAGCTCACCTGCCAGGAGAGGTTCCCCTCATCGTAGGCGTGGAACGGCACGCAGTAGTAGGATGGGTAGTTGCTGTGCAGATCGGCGTCCAGCAGCCGCTCGTACTCGGCGTCCAGCTGCTCCTTTGCCCGCTTGAGCGCGTCCACTTCATCACTCCACGAGTAGCCAATCGACTCCCCTGCAGACCGCACCACCAATCCGCCGTGCAAATATATGCCACCAAGCGCCCTCGCGTACCTACCTCGCTTGACCATCATCTTCCTCGCATTGGCGGCCGCGAAGCCCATGATGGGCTTCACCTTGAAGATCCCTTCCAGCAGAGCAGTCGCCTTGAGCACTCCCGGATCTATCGCCAGATTCATGCGTGGCGGCAGCCGCCGGTGCCGCGGTCGCTGCTGCCTCTCGCGCCATGATGAGTGGCTGGGCCGCGGCCTGCCGATGAAGGCGCTGCTGCAGCAGAGGATGCACCAGACGAGAAGGAGGAAGCAGATCATTGACGAAGGTTGACGGGTCAAGCCCGTAGCTGCCTTGCAAGACGGCTGATGCTACAGATCTTGTAAGAATAGGGGGGAGAGAGTCGGGGAGAATGGTGAAGAGAGGATCTGCCGGGCGGTCAGTCCCGGATAAAGGATTAAGTCAATGCAACGTAAGGTCTGTGGATTTTGTGGAGAGTCCACGTAGGACATGTAGTATGCGTCAGTCCATCCTGTCTG